ATAAGTCACTATGCCATTTGTTGACCGGGTTACATTCAATCTATAAATGTTCCACTTTTATTGTACATACAGTAGCTGTCTTTCATTTGATTCACTTTCCATAATCATAAGTATCAGTATCATTAGGGAAATGAACCAATCAGAGAGCTGGCATTTATACCAAGACAAAGATTTACTGTATTTCTATTAGTGCTGAGATGTACCACTGTAATTCAGTCAAACCCTAATTCACTCTTCCTTATATGTTCCAGTACAGCTCTCTAATGACATTATCTGTTAAGAGGAGACGACATGCAGGTTTCTCTCAAAGAAGCCCTTAAGTCACATCAGTAAATGAACTTAGATAGATTCCAAAGTAACTTAGTTCCTGTTTACTAGAAGTTTAAAACAGGCAACACATTTACTATGTTGTTTGTGTTTAGGTTCAATGCAAAGATCCAAGTCTTTTCCTTGTCATCATAGAAAACATGGAAGAGGAGATTTGCTTTTATGTGGCTGTAAAACCTCTAAAACAATGGAACAGCTCTGTAGCAGTGGTGTTAATTACCACTGGTGTAAAGGTGGTTGAGCTTGTCCTATTCGTGGTCGGCCATCATTCTGAAAAACATACACACTTTTACGCCAACCTATAACCATAACCTTTACCACCTGAAAAACAGCTTCTTCCTACTTACAGACACAGCGTCTGTCCCCAATTTGAACAAACTGTCCCCAATTAACCGGCCTAAATATAGAATGTGTTCCCAAAGTTGGGCTATGACAGGGCTACACACACACACACACACACACACACACACACACACACACACACACACACACAAAGAGACAACCTACGTTATTTACTAGTCAATCAGTGGCAATTCTCACACAGTAACATACTGTAGGTCGCTTATTAGCCAATGAGTGCAGACATACAGAAACCGTGCATGTGTGTGTGTGTGTGTGTGTGTGTGTGTGTGAGGGGAGCTGGATAATCTATAAGGACGATTCTTCTATCCTCATTTTCACAATGTTAGTGATTTGTCTCTCAGTGTTAATATGAATAAAAACAAAAGTCCTGACCTTGTCTGGATTTTTACTGACCCTGTCTGTGCCTGTCATTGTCTGTGGGCATGAGTGCATGCAGCATGCACTCTGGGACTGCACTAATTCTTTATGTTTGTATACAAACTATACCTCCTCTTTTGACACGGTTCATGTAAACAGCATCTTCTGTTTGGTTATTATTATCATCATGAGTTATTTGAGTTGCTTTATATATTTTTTAAATGCTGTCTCCTCTTCTGCTTCTTTAATACGTCATGTGTTTTTATATCTGATCTGTGGGGTACGGCCTCCGTCTGCGTTAGGAAATGACAGTAAACTGATTCTGATTCGGACATGTACACAGTGTATTCAGACTACGTCTTCATTGGGGTCGTTAATGGCAATTTGTGAGACAGCCTGTTTCGCGTCAATTCTGTGCGCAGGAATAAGCAGGAATATTAAAATATAATTTTTTTATGACTGATTTCAGTCTCGGAGGAGACAGACTGAATATGGCGAGCATGTGACAGTCTCCACGTTGTGAATGGCTGGCGTCAGGACACAGTGGGCACATTGTATCAATAAATGATCCTTGATAGAGATGTTGGCCAACAGCCTGGCAGGACATTCAGGGATAATATTCATTCAACCATTCCAGCCTGTTGTGGGACTGTGTTTAATGTAGGCCAAATGGGGCTGTAGCAATAAAAAGCAATTAAGCACTGAGGGAAAAAATACTAGCCCAGTAAACAAAGTAAGACATGACAGTCTCTCAAAGGTCCAGTGTGTAAGGTTTAGTTGAAAGGAATATTTTGCAGAAATTGAATATAAAACAATCCTAGTGATGTTTTCACTGGTGTGTTTCATCAAAATTGTAAGAATTGTTGTTTTATTTATAATAGAATATAAAATGTATATCTTAAACTTTATATTTACATGGAGGGGGGTCCTCTCTCTCTTATTTACAAAAAGATTAATATCTCAGGATGAAAAAGAGATGTCATACATGTAGAAGATGCCGACGAAGATTCCAACTTGGAAAGACAATGAGCATCCGAGAGCCTTTGACAATCAGGGCAGATGCTGGTATTGATGTGCTGTAAACAATAATAGGATTTCTGCAGCAGAATGTATACGTCATGTCCTGCTTGCTGCTACTCAGACGCTATGGAAATCTTGGAAAATGACCCAATTTGTGACACAGTCTTAAAGACCCCTGAATAACACTGCAGCTGTTTTTCATTTGTGCTAGCTGATCAGAGTGTTCAGGTTGAAGTTGATCTGATATTAAGGTCAATGAGATGTTAATGAAGCACAGTTTGAGAAGAGTCCTCAGGAAAGGTATAATCAGACATGATGAGAAAAAACTCACGTGGGCTTTAAAGCAACAGCAACCTTTAGACCGATACGAACGTACTGCCTCAAACGCTAACATGTCTTGTGTGCATTGACTTTAAATAGAGATGAGAAGCTTTCCTCTGTTATGTGGGTAAAATATCCCGGATACGGGTGCTACCATCTTGTTTTTTTAAATGTCACGGAGCCAGAGTCTGCACAGTAGCGGTGGTGGTGAGGAGCCACGGTATCAAGGCTGTCCTGACGCTCACACTCAACCAATCATGAGTCAGTCTCAACTGTCAATCACCTCACCCTGTTCTTATAGCAACAAATAACTCACTGAAACCAAAGTTATCAGGAAACATAAGCACTAAAACATACATCAAGATTTAAGTGATAAGAACTAAATAAAATGATAAACACCATCTTTCAGAAAAAAATATTAGAAGTGTATTTGGACTTTTAAGTAACTAACATGGATGAGTTTACAATGTATACTATATCCAGTATCCAGTATACCCTGTATTCATGTGTTTACCTGTAGGAATGGGAGAAGCTGAATTATGACATACACACTTTGCGCTACGCAAAACGAGAAGTACAATCTCGATGGAAGAAAATCCTGGTGCAGCTAGGTGAGATGCTACATCTTCCCCTCCGCTTCATTCAGTTCACTCTGTACAACTCTCGTCCGTTTCTCATCTCATCTCTTTGTAAAACGCCCCGGATCTTTTCATGTGACTCTCCATCCCTGAAGGTTATCAGTGTGAGGTGGACGCCCTGCTGTGTGTGGACAAACGGAGGTTCAGTCGAGATCAGGAGCATCACAACAGAACCACGGAACTGTTGAAACAGCTGCTGGACCACACCTCTCTGTTCCCTCCTGGGACGGGGCCCCAGAACAGATACCTCTGTGTCATGGTACACACACACACATGCGCACGCACACATTTTCATCTAAAACTATAGTATATGTTCTCCTGATCTCATCTTCATTGTCCTTCACTTCCTCCTCTCTTTAATTGTTAATCTGTCACTTTTTATTTTATTCCTTAATCTTCCTCTTCTTTATCTCCCCTCACTATGTATCTGCATCTCACCTTCATTTCTGCATTCTGCCTCCATCACATGACTTCAACCCTTCACTAATATTTCACTGCTTGTTTTAAAAAGCCTTAATGATCAGGCTCCTGCCTACATCTGTGATCTGATAACCTTTTATGAGCCTGATCATTGCCTGAGATCCTCCAGCAGGGGGGGCCCTACTGACTCGTTACTTCTCACGAAATATTTGTTTGGGCCCCTCAGCTGTGGAATTTCCTGTTTGGAGATCTCAGGAAGGCAAATTCAGTATCTTCTTCAAAATCTCTTGACTCACTGTCATTTTATGATGTACTGTGAATGATACGGTACTTTTGAAACAATTTATAGTGTTTTACCTTTTTATGATTTGGATTTTATTATTTGTAAAATACATTTTATTGTAAAGCACTTTGTAACTTTGTTTTGAAAGGAGCAACATAAATACAGTTAGTATCATTTTTATTATCTGTCTCTCAGGATAAATAAAGTTAGTATCATTTTTATCATCTGTCTGTAGGACTGCCTGGTGTCACTGGACAGTGCTGAGGAGTTTGTCAGACTGGCCAAAAAGAAATATCCCAAGCAATAAGGCTGAGAGACAGAGACAGAAAGAAGACGACACGGGCTGAAGAAAAAAAAAACGTTTAAAATGTTGAGAGATGCTGCTCAAAAATACATCATCTGACACATACCTGCATGCATTTATGTCTAAATGCAAATTAATATCCGCTATTTGATATGTTGTTTGGAATTTATTTACACTGCATATTGGTAAGTTGCACTTTTTCATTTACACCTTAAAGTTTTTAAGGTTATATTAAAATGTTTTGTACTTTGTATATAATTCTCAGTGTCACAGTATTTCTCTTTCACTAACACTTGTTCACATGCAGAAATGCAGCTGTCCTTTAGAGAATGGATTAATTAAACAAGCTGACATGTAAAAATAGTGGTTTTGTGCTTATGTTACTTTTTTAAGATATCCTCTATATATATCTCTACATACATTACAATACATACGTTTTTAGTGTTATATTAAATATGAGACAATCCATTAAACACAACTGATGTAAACTAATAATAACAAACTGTATATGTGTTTTTTTTTCCATCTTGTCAGGAATAAAATATATTTGCTCAGTCAGTATCATTACTTGTATTTGGCACCATTTGAAACTGTCTTGACAGTTTTGTCCCAAAGGTGGCAGCACATACTAATGTTTTAGTGGATTAAACTCTAAACTGGAAGAGAAAAAAAACTATGTAGTGAAACTTCTGTATCACAGATGGGTAAAACATTTTTCCTCTATTAAACTCGTAAAAATGCTTCTACCCAAAATATTAAAAGGGAAATATTTGCAGGGACAGGGTTAAAGTGATACAGTAACATTCAGGGAAGCTTGAAATGCAGTTTCGTTCGAGTGTCAGGAGCGGTGCTTAAGAATTTCAGAAGAATATGATTGAACATTAGAAAGTTGTGCACATTGTTGGTAATTCAATCAGTTACTGGTAAAACTTCACTTTCTGTGCAGAGATTCAGGATTTTTGCAGGTCGCAGATGATACTGTGTCATCCTGGCTTTCACTTAAAACCAATTTCTGAATCATGTCAGGGCTGTACCGTGGACATGTTCATGGACACACACCCATCTGGGCCACAGCATCTGCAGGTTCAGAGAGTGTGAGACCGTTTTCATGCAGTCGATCCCTGTGGTATGTCGGACACACACTTTCACACACACACACACACTCATGCTGGTGCACACATGAATACAGAAAGAGAGAGTTTACTCTGACCCAGATATTGTTCTCTCCAAGGCCCCTTCCCAAGTTTGGGAAACAGATGTGGACCTAAAAGAAAGGGGGGCGCTGGGGGAGGGGAGCGGGTACGAGGAGCAGGCCAATCCTCTGGCAGCACTGAAAGGCATTGTGCTGCTTGCACCTTTTTCTCATTACACTACTATGTGTGTGTGTGCATTTTGGATCGTGCAATGCTGACATCACTCTCCAGAATTTCACTGAAATATTGTCCCAAAGAGAGTAAATGAGACAACGATTGTGACAAGTTCTTATATTTATTGGACTAAAATGTGACAGATGAAAGAAAGAATTGATTTAAAAGGTGATTGTAAGATGCTGGAGGGAAAAGAAAGAGAGACAAGTATTTACTGTCACATTCTGGTTATTAACGTCCACTTCAATCTTCAACTCTCTCCATATACCACCCAGGAAACAGCTATTCTACTGTGCCTGATCCTTCTGTCCATCTTAGGTTTTATGTGTGCTTCATTATTAACTCAATCATATTACTTAATTTGTATTAAATATAAAGGAACTAGTTCAGTGCCCATTCTAAACCCGCCTGTTTGGACTGGGTGGCGTGCTTGGCCTGTGGTGATGCTGGTTGAGAATCAGTTGTTGTCGTAATGGACAACTGCTGAGTACCAGACTGTACTGAACACATCGCATCTCCACATCGCACCAAACTTTACACTGCACTTTGGTCCCTTAACAACAAACATCCCATGTGAAGTGTGCAAAGACTGGAAAAAGAGGGAAACACCTAAGTTCAGACCAGCTGTAACAAAATCAGTCTACCAGCGTTTTATAAAGCTAATTAAATAATATTTTGCATTTTGTTTGTTCATTTGTTGGAACAATAATACATTATACAAAACATGGATGAAATGCAAATTTCAAAAAATCTAAAGGAGTGTGATATGAATCGTCTGGCTTGAGTATGTATAAGTAAACTATATGAAATTAGATTCTATGATAAAAGAAGAAGAATTTAAGATGCTATTGTTTCTTAACGTTCACCAATTTGTGTGCGTTTCTTGCTCTGCCCTCTTCCTTCACATCCTTTCCACAACGTGTCCACATATGAAGCACTTTGCCACAGTGACAAATGGTTTCTGTAGATAAATGTCACAGACTGTGGTAATGAACTACAGAGGAACCAAAAGCATAAGTCCACTGACTGGACTTATACTGGAGATGATTAACAGTAACAATTTATGTATCTATACTGAGAAACAATCAACATTTGAGTATATAGTTTGATATAAAACATTACATTGATCTGCACATATATTCAGCATGAACAGACAATGACTTTGGGCATCCCCCAACTTTGTCTCTACTGTTGCAAAGCGTAACATTTTTGTTTCAGATGAAATGTGTCTTGAAATGATTAATCGTAATGACATCTGTTAGAGAGGTTGTTTTATTTTTTGCATCTTTTCCATCCTGATCCATCATAAGGTCAGAATCGAATTTTCAGCCTAATCTATACTTCGTAAACCAAGATGATAAAACTTTAAACATCAAAGTGTTGCTACTATGAGCATGTCAGCATGCTGACAATAGAAGCAACTTGTGTTGCGTTCAGGCAGAAGCAGTTAATTTTCCACTCACAAAGGTACGGCTGGGGACATGGAAAAGATGACAGACTGCAAATTTGGTTTTGTCCAACAATAGAATCACAGTTGTCATTAAAATCTAAAAACATTACACTTGAAAGATGATATGGTAAGATGATACACTCCTGTTCATTTGGTTTGTAAAGGGGTACTTATGATTGAATGGGTTTATTTTAAACACAGAAATGGCAGCTCATAAATGCACATTTTCCGTTTTAGTTTTACTGAACCAGACAATAAGAATTCCCAAGCCCATCCATCCGTCTATTATCTATAACGCTCATCCTTTGAGGGTCACAGGGGGGAACTGGAGCCAATCCCAGCTGACATCGGGGAGAGGTGGGGTATTTACAAGTTTTAACCCCTGTAAAAGCTCAGTTTATCTCAGAGTCATTCATGATAAGACATAAATGACAACGGTGTCACACCCATGCACAAAAACATCAAGACACATGCTCGCAGGCACACACACACACACAC